CAACTACTGGCAGAAAAATCCATCCGAATGCCTCCCTATATGTAAACATTCTCTTCTGACTTTAACACTCTATTTTCGTAGTTTTCCTTTCAAGTCATTATGATTACAGGGTTTGCAACACTTCCACAAAAGAATGACGGAGCCAAGCAAAAAAAAAAAACCCAAACAAATCCAACACAGGTTCATCTCTTGAAGTGTGAGGCAGGGCCAGCGCTCCAGTTTTACCCTAGTGCAGATCTGCAGATGGTATTTTCTTTCTCTTCCTCTGCCCTATAAACTGAGGGCAATAAACTGCCTCTCTTCCTCTAACTGGCCCACTTGGCACCGGCCCAGGTGATAGGAAGGAGCACTACCGCTGTCTGAAAACTCTTTGCTGGCAACTCTACAAAGCGACGGAGGTCTCGGCAGACAATGAATGAGGTTTAGCTGCTCCCGGTCAAAAGCCAGAGCGGGAAGAGCAGAGGGAGGGTTTCTTTCTAAGGATGGGGTAAGTTTAGCCAGTACTAGCTTCAAAAAAGCAAAAATGGGCACTAAGAGTAGAAAGTATTCTGAAGTCTCCTGTGTCAACAATTTTAATGAGCGTCATAAAGCGCAGTGCCACTCTGAGTATCATGCCAAGCTGCTTTTAAGAGGCAAAGATTTGATGCCGAACCCAGGTAATTTGAGCTGTGAGAGATCAGAAGCGGTAAGCTAGCTAACAGGTGACTGAGAGCTGGATGATTACAGCAAGCGCTGATGCTGTGCTGCTGGGGATGAAAGAGAGAAAGGTCTGGTTGCTGGGAGACCCAGACAACCTGCTGGAAGTGGTAACGAGGCCTTCAGGCAACACACCCCAGCTGGCTCTTATCTGCATCCCTGCGCAGGCACACGCAGCCTCTGTTAAGGATGCCAAGCAAAATGGAGTGGAGAAGCCTGTCGTGCAAAGCGGAGGGCAGGGATTTTCTTACAAAGCAGCTTAGAGGTAGCCTGCGACTAAGTGCTTTCAGTTGAGAAAAGATTTCTTTTGTTAGCAATAGCAGGGACTGGAAGCTATAGCTTCTTTTCTTTAAGACTATTAGAGCAGAGCGTAAGAGGGCCATGATGGGAAAGGAGCAGACGCCTCTTGCTGTAAGGCTGAGTGTGCTCTGCTGAGGTGTTTGTACTGACTGTTAACTCGAGATCCCTGGTGCTACAGTCTAATCTGGTTTCTGAATCTCCAGGGAAATGGAGCGCATGCACAGGAGTTGTGACAGGCATTAGCAGATACTCTGCAAACACCGTAAAACAAGAAGTCTAGACTATACAGGAACTTTCTCAAAACTGCAGGGAGAATTTTATTGCTACTGTCTCTGTGGTGACAGCAAAGGTGCGTGTACAAACCTTGGGCCTGCGACCCCCCCCGAGAGGACGCACTGCTCTGGCCCCGCACAGCTCAGCGGGAGGAGCAGCCCGGGCTGCGGGGCTGCCTCCAGAGCGGCACCCGGTCAGTCGCGCACCAGGCCAGCCCTCGGTTACTTTGACAAGCCCAACTGTCAAGCCTGAGGTAGCAAGTTGACATTAAGGGGTTAAGCAGGAATAGAAGATGTGCTTACCTCATCGTAATATTTCACTATGTATCTGTAGATTTCAGTCAAGGCCACTTTCTCATTAAATTCATTTTCATGTTTCTAAAATAGAAAGCAGTTCTGGTCAGATAGTTCTCCTTTTTAAAAAAACTTAACATGAAAGCAAATGAAGTTGCCATTTCTCAACCATACCTTAGATTCCTGAGTTAGAAATTCTTCAACCTCTGAAGTGGTCAATGGAGGCAGATCCCTGATGGCTTTATAGTACGCTTTCACCTCCTTCTTGTAGAGTGGAATGTCCTTAGCGTAGAGAAGTTTATTTGTTGGTGCTTCCTTAAAAGAAAATATTTGAAGCCTTGTCAATTTTCACAGCACAGATTTCCTGAGGTTCCACCTCCACATAGTTAATTGCATCTAATTGTGTCTGTTCTCTGTGTGACTCATTTCTCTTTGCAGTGGTTATATGCAAGGAATCAAGGTTATGAAATAAAGATGAAGAAGAGACGCAGGACCTCAGTAACAGTGCACTGTGTTTCGTGACAGTTGCCATATAATTATTTCTATTGGCATCAGGAGTGATGAACATTTGTCCCTTAGACATATTTTTCTTTCTTACTTCCTCCTCACCACTCCCCAGACCTGAAAGATTGTGAAAGCCGAATCAAAGGCCTTGAAGCTGACAACGTATTTGCATACAGGATACAGCAGTGCTGTGGGAAATTCCCCTAGGAAGCTTCCCCTCGGGTAACATGCGGAGAGCCTTGCTAGGAGAGCCTTGCTAGATCCTGCCCTGGTGAAAGGAAAGCCAAGATACATAAAGCCACTGCATCAGAATGCCTCCTGAAAAGCCTAGGGGCAAGGAGGATATTTCAATATCTTAAGTCAAAAGAAAGGCCTTTGTGATTTAGGGAGTAGTTAGAATGGTTGTAAGACAAGGGGGCTCCGGGGATAATCCCATCTCAGATAACTGGGCCTTGGGAGAACAAATGCATGGAAGATAGGAAGTCACAAAAGAATGACAACAGCCTTGAAGGACACCGTTTAGGTGATCCTAGGACTGAGTTTGCGCAGAAGCAAAGGTCAATCAGCGAACACAGTGAAGAAGACTACAAGCCTTCATCTGAAGACCCCCAAAGACCACTTGAAGACCACCACGGGAAACACTGTGCATGCGGATCGGACATTTGCATATGTTAATGAGTTCCAGGAAATCTCATGTTTATGTAAATGATTTCTCGGAAATCCTGTGAATATGTAGGATTTTATAGTATATAATCTCTGGAAGTCCACCAAATCGGTGGAGCACTCATGGTGGAGAATCCCCAGTGCTGCCCAGCGCTGCAATAAAGAATCCCTGCTTAATAGTAACTTCGTTGCTATTGAGTTTCATTTCAGGGACTCTCTGAATATTCCATTTCTCCCTTGGGGAGATTCAGACTGCGAGGAGAAGCATCCGTGACTTTTTGTATCACTGGCAGAGGTTTCCCCTAAAACTCTTCGGTCTCTACTACTCCTTTCACTCAGGGGTTTGAGAGCATGGAGAGCTGACTGCCAGGCATGCACAGCCAAAGGGATTTTTTTTATTTTTCCCCAGGGCTTCAACAACCCAGGTCAGCAGTGACCTACCAGGCAGCTTTAGGCTCATCCGAGGAAATAAATGCTGATGTTTGTGGTAGGAGCCGAAGCCCCACCTGGAAACCACGTTTTCAGAACGTAAAAGTGGGGGCTGGTAGTTTCCTGTCACTGCTCTGGTTTAAATTCTGGGGAATAAATGACACAACCGTGAGATGTCTTGTCACTACTGTTTCCACCGTGTGATGAAATGATTTAAATGGTTGTTTTCTAAGTGGCTAAAGAAAGTTTTATGATAAAAGGCTAAAAATCATGAAAGTAAATACATTTTAGTACTAAAAGGCCACAAGATGTTTACTGCGCTGCAAACCTTTATCAGGTTTCAGCATCCCTTTTCAAATGTTTAATGGGAGCTGTTGTATCAATGGATGTTAAGCATAGAAACCTAACAGACCATGCTCATTTGCAGGTTTTCCATCAAGTAAGTGATGTGATTAGTTTTAATTCATGACACTTCACTCCTAAAATAAGATGAATAAGCACATTATTTGTTATTTACCTTGAACAGACGAGCCATTGGTTCAGACCACACAGGAAATTAGTCCATTATTATATACTTTTTTTTAGGCTAAAAAAATCTCTAGCCTGTTTTTCTTGGTAGTATGAGCCTGAACAAATGCTTCCTGCTTTGGTCCAAAGAAAAGGAAAATATCCTCAGGAAAAATGAAGTACTTCTGATCCCCAGAGTTCTGGATGCTGTACTAAAGAGCTTTTGAATGTAAGATTTCTGAACTTGTTACTCCACCAAACAATTTTGCATATAAAAAGGGAGCAGCTAATACATGTGAAAGGAACTGTTTCAAACTTCAGAGCTCTTTCAAGTATTCTTACAGCTCCCGGTAGCTTACTATGCCTGCCTGCTGCACATTGGCGTGTGGCAGACAAAATTTGGACTACTTATCAAATAACGTTAATACTTTTAAGACCTTTGGTTAAAAATTCTTTAAAACTTCATTAAAATCTTACAATTCCCACCCTCTTCCACATATTCTATAAACACACTGCGCAGAAACTAACTGCAGAGAAGACAAGCAGCAGTTCACTATAAATATGGCATTCTAGTAGCTGTATCTGTCTACTCCAATGAATTCTTCAAAGTCGCGCGAGATGGAAGCAACAAGGAATGGAAACCCAGCTTAATTAGGCCCCCACAGTTTTGCTCCCGATGTCAGCAGATCCAGGAGTTCATCCCCTAAATCATTATACAGTTGAAAAAGACATTGGTTGAGAAGTTAGCAGAAGACTGAAAGGGCAGCATTACCTTCCCCATGGTTTGTTCTGCTAGAGAAAAGGCATCCATGAAAGCTTGTGCGATTACAGACAAACAGCCGTCTATATGTGAAGTCTTCTTAATATCAAAGACGAATTGGGGATTCTTCAGTATGTTCACCCAGAAGCGAAGAGGAAGACTAGACAGAGAAAGAACAGGCATCTTTAACCACTCAGGTAGCCCAACTGCTTTAAAATGGTAGTTCAATTGCACTGCACTCACGGAAAGAAGCACATTTCTGGGCTGCTTATTCATGTTAAAAAAGGAATCAGGGAACAAAGGCTACAGAGCAAACACAGCAGTCAGTCACCCTTCCATCTTCAAATAATGCTCTCAACCTGCAAATACTTCTTTCTGAGTGTGAATTCAGTACGCAGACTTAGAAGTCCTGGAAGCTATGATGGCTTGTATCGATATCCAATCGATACACTAAAATTACTGGGATCTACAAAGCCAAATCACATCTTCACCCAGACATGCCAAAATCTTGTTCTTCTGATCACAGGTGAGCTGTTCCACCTTTGCAACTACATTTTCGGAGAGTGCACGCACTCCTGCGCATATCGTATGGGCATACCTGTTGGTTTTCCATATGTGGACCACATCAGGGTCAGTAATTTTTTTGCTCTCAGCCTGGGCATCCAGAAAGTCAAAAAAGTACTTGATGGCAACAGGTGCTTTGTTGTTGGGTAAACTCCAAATGCTCCTGAAAAGCTTTTCAACAACTGAATGAATTGCAACCTGAAAAGTAAGAAAATGAACAGTGCTATTATTACACAAGAAAAGGATTTCTTGTCTCAGAGAGCTGAGCGTGCCCCAGAGCAACCACACACAGAAACTACAAGACGCTTGTGGCAAACATCTAGGCCACAGGTTATGGGCAAACAAGACAGTCAACAACAAAAATGAAACTACAAATACACCACAATGAGCTGCTTTCAAATGCCATGTGTCCTATCACTTTACCGACAGGAGAACTGCGGTGAACTTTGTGATAAATCGTAGGTGGACGGAATCACTCATTCCAACAAAGACAACATCAACTCTTCGGATACTGTTGGCACCATTGCTAAAGGCATTTGGAAATTGTGACTGGAAGTAAGAGGGAGGTGAGCAAAAGGAGTTTAACCAGTTTTCTAGGGCACTGGTCTTCATGGTGCCATCTGCGACACACGTTGAACACGTGCTCATTAGCACTTCACAGCCAAGCGACTGCAGCGCTTGATCTAATTCTAGGATAACAGCTTTGGGTGGCATACGAAGACACTAATATTAGAGAGAAGAACTGAAAACTGGGTGTTTCTGATCGAGAAGTGAAGCTACTTGGCTCACACAAAAGCAAGGGCTTGGTTGCTGACGGACTCACTGACATTGTCACAGAGTATTCACAAGCAGAGGCAAACAAAGCAAAACACTGTTTTGTGCTTTTTTTTCTTCACATCTGTTCTGAAGCTCAGTTCAGCCCAACCTTCTCTCCACAAGAAGGATTTAAGTGTATCCCAGGGCCTTGATGCACTACTGGCCAGTTGATTTCATGTGGCAAACTCTGTAATTGTGTCTGTGTGCGGGTATGGAGGAGAGAGAGAGGGAGAGAGAGGTGGTTCGATGCAATTTCCTTTAGTGCATGGCACATCACGGATGGAATTTCACAGTGAAGGATGTCACAGCACTGTTGTTCAGAGCACTATCCTACTTTGGAGAAGACAACTAATTTAAAGCCCTTTAAAAGGACCATTTCTTAAGAGCCTGATCTTTCCTTTTGTACTTCAGTCTTCCACTGTAAGATACTACTGGTTTACTCCAGCAGTTCCTAAGGGCTTATGTTAGTTTCCACAGCTAATGAGAAATGACCAGTCTTCACTCTCACCTTGGGCAGTGTCCCAAATTACTTCAGATGCTATCAACAATCTAATTAAATAATGACTGATAGATTTTTAAATGCAAGGCGGCCATAATCATCATCCCTTCAGGCCTCTTGTATTGCACAGCTCTCAGTGTTGCGCACTGATTAATATTTTAAGTAATATGCTGTTGCAAAGAGTTTTATAACCCTTTTGAGTAAGTCAGAAACAAGATGACATTACCGGAGGGAGAGAGCAGGGCTTATTCCTAAGGAATGAGCATTGTATAAATTAGGTAATCGTATTATAAATCCTAAGGACCTTGTTTTCAAAATTAATCTAGTTATTTTGGATGCTTAATTTGAGACTCTAAAAAATGATACCATTTCACGGGCAGTATTTTGAGAAACTCAGGCCTTGGAAGTTGTCTCTAAGCTGGGCAAACTCTAGTAGAGAGTGAGGAGATGGTTGACTGAAAGCTGTCTCTCCAGAAGAGATCGTTCTCACTCTATGGGACTCAGTGGCAAAGCTCACTTTCTATAAGCTCAATAACTACCTTTTTTCTTTAACCCGAGGAAAAAGGTTGTGCTTACTGAGGAGATAGAGAGTGCGAGTAATAGACAATTTTAGAACCCTAGCATTAGAAAACCTGCAATGTGTGTCCGTCATTGCAAATGGTCGTAATCCACAGCTAGCACAGCGAGTTTTATAGGCTACCTTTTTATTTAACATTTGATGCACATACAGGAAGTCTGCGTAATTTCTGCTTTAATTTCTATTTCTGTTGTGCCAAACTAGCCAAGCCTAACATCAGCCCTCCCCCAAAACAAGGCCTTTACAGTTTACCTTGGTTGACAAAAGCTTTGTCAGATACATTTCTTTCACTTTGAATTTTTGCTTTCCTTTGTGACCTGCTCCTTTCACATCTTTGTTTGCTTCGGAGTCTGGTAAAATCTGTCGTGAAGAGATTAGAGAGATTACACAGATACAAATACGGCTCAGTAATAAATCCACCACTTAACAGTGTAATGACTGAACTCACCAAATGACAGTGTTCATCCGAGTAGTCCACATCTAAACAACAGAAGGCAGAGAGCAAACAGGCATTAATGAAACACACAGCTACAAACGTGTGAATTCTGCTGGGCTCTGGGCTGTGCAGCGGGGTGCATGCCAGGATGCTGAGCAAGCAGGCTCGGCATCACGCTTTCCTGCCTGCAGCGTGGGGGAAGCCTCTGAGAAACGCACAGCTCCTGGCTCACCTCCCCAGTGCCAACCTGTAGCTCGGACCACTAAGCTAGGGCATCATCATCTGCTGCTGGGGTAAGCTGGCAGCAAATCACGACTCCTCTGAAAGGAGGACAACAGACAGCAGATGAGGTGACTGCATTGGTTTAGTCTCTAAGGGTACTCAGTGCAGGCGGGCTGGGGTCAGGCTTGAAAGCGGTGGCTGAGAACAGACAACTGAAAGCAATGGCTGAGAACAGACAACTCCTTCTTGCTGCGGGAGAGAGCAATGCCATCCCAGTGACTTGCACCTCAGCGACACATCTCTCCTAACTTTCGATGCCCACTTTGATGGTGAATCACATCCTAGGAGTGTCTGTTTCTCCCTAGGGGCTACAGAAAGTCCACCTCCCCCGAGCCACCATCTGGGCTGGAGCAACCTGCATCACAGGGGTAGGTGAGATGAACTAATCCCTTGTAAGTACCCTTTAACTCCTGACCTGCTGTTGACACAGCCGAGTCAAAGCTTTCAGAAACACAGTCAAGAGAATAAGGAAAATTCCCAAACTGCATTTTTTTGTTATGCCTGTCTCCGGACAGTGCACTACTATGTCCGTAATGCACAACGCTGGGCACTGGAGCAGGGCACGTTCCCTGTGTTGGTCTCACCAGTCAGCACTTTGTGTCACCTGGGCTTCCCTGCCCTGCTTTTCCTGTCCTTCATTTTCTGAGGACTGTAAGTCCTTCTGTCCTTTCCCTTCTTCCCTCCTCCTAGGCCCACTGTGCCTGCCAGAGGCCCACAGCCAGGGTAACATGGCTCTTCATTTGGCTCAGCTGTATCGAAGTGCCAATTTTTCTAACCTCCTATTGACCAAGATACAACCTGTCATAGCTCAGCTCTCTGCGTTCCCAGCCCATTCTCCACAAAAGATTAACTACATTGCAGTTCCTTTGTTACCTGATTGGGTATTTGCCTTCTTTTTAAACACTTTTAGGGTTGCTCCATTTGAAATCTGAAAGCAAAAACAAACATATCATGCTGAAACAACTGTCTAGAATTCACAAAACCCTCAGTTTCATTTCCTCCGTCCTTAAGTTCGTGGCAGCGCAGGAGCATGCCAGCCCACTTCGTTCTCACCACGGTGTGCACGGCTCTCAGCAGGCAGCCAGGGCCGGGCTTTCAGGCATGGGCAGCAGCTGCAGTTTGCTAGCCTTACCTGGCAAGGTGGGAAGGCAGCTCTTCCAACAAACCGGCCTTTAAGACCTTGCCCTTTCTTTGATTTTTCTGGTTCAGCCCCTATTTGGACATTTTCATTTTTGTGTACTGCTTTGTGCTGCTTCTTGCACCCATCTTTCTACAGATTGCCCAGGCTGAATTCTCTGGCTCCAGTGCAATAGGATCTTACAGGAAGGTGAGGCAGGGAGGGGAACACAAGGACGTCTTCTCTTCTGGTCCCCCTCCTTCCAGCTCAGTCCATTCCCCTCTATGGAGGGGCCATGTTGAGGGTCTAGCCTGGTGCTCCCAAGAACTGTTTTCAAACTGAGCAAAATATTTACGCCCTATGGACCGTAAAGTCAAGATCCATACCAAGGTACCCTGGGATTTCTAGGAAAAATCTTTCCCCTTCCTCCCCTGAATTTATAGTGCTGCCAGGATGGTAACTATTATCTTTAAAAGAAACTGGCAAGTCATGTTTTTATTGTCAAAGAGTAACTCGAAAACAGCTCTCACTGAGAACTACACCACTGCTCTGCTGTCAAATGTTGGGTCTTGCCAAGTGCTAGTGTATTTCGCTCTATAATTACAAAAACAACTGGCCAGTTCTAGGAAGGGATGTCTGCCAAAATAATTTAAGTGTTTTTTAAACCTTGGCAGCCAGCCTGGTGTGAGAAACCAGTTTAAACATTAAGATACTCTATCAAAAGCTCTGTCTTGCGCCAAAGAAATCTGCACTAACACTTGGTCCTGGAAAGTAAATCCAATCTATTTTATAAGTATGATTTTTTGCAGGGTTTCCATTTATCATACAGTGTGTCAGAGCTCTTTCAGATAACACAGAGCACTTTAAAACCACACTGCAAGTGGGAATATGCTCGAAGGCTAGCTTGCGGGGTGACACAAACACCCAGACAGTCCTCCTACTTGGCCCTGAAGGTAGGTAAACAGGAACAGGGCTACCCAGCAGCTTACCCCCTCCCAGAGCGGCGCGGGCAATACGCTGCCTCCACTTCCTCTCCGAGAAGCAGGAGAGCAGCTCAACGCTGAAATGTGTTGGCTCCTGTCCTGAGGGAGACGGGCAGAGCTCAGAGGGAGAACCATGCCTTCCTCCGGGAACCAGAGGTGTTGGTGCAGTGCAGCCATGATCCAAACCCCCACTTCAGGTTTTGTTTCTGGGACAAATGATGCTTTTAGCATTGAATGGAACATGCTTTCCCTTCTTTATCATTATTGCAGCAGCCACACTTGCTGTTTCTTTCAGTGTGATCCAATTAAAAAAAAAAAAAAAAAAAAAGCCCTTCTTTTTGTGTCCTGCTGCCTAAGTCACTTTTCATGGTGGGCTGCTCCCATGGGCACCTCAAAACATCTTTACTTTGTCAGGTGTGTTACTGAGGGGGACAAACAGGGAGAGGCGAGATCTGTTCAGATCCACATAACATGGAGTACATCTGCTTTGCAAAACAGAAGATATAGTAGTGTGGCTCTACATCTCTTCCTTGTTCTCCAGGCCTCCTGTCCTCCCTATAATCCAGTTCTTGACAGTGAGGTCCCTGAATCACACATTCAGATTCACTCTTTGGGGCTGTGCCTGCTCCTGGAACGTGCGATGCTGCCACAGGTTGAGAAATTGGAGATCTGTGACTGGGCAGCAGATATGAAAGTGGTTCTCTAGCTCTCTTCTTGCGTGGAAAATAGGACATCATGATAATCAGCAACTTTCTTGTCAAGGCTTGTGGTTATTCTCGTGCAAACAATAGTGCAGACCTCATAAATAATCACTTCAATAACCCTACTAGGACCAAAAAATTAGAGCAAAAGGAACACACAAGTCAGAGACACATGGAAGTCTAATAAGAGTACAGTGGATTTTTTTTCCTTTCAGAAACACCACACAAAAATGCAAACATCCTCTACTTGCACATTTTAAAAATCAGTGTAGAAACTAGGTTTGCTTTTTCAAGAGTGATCGATGATTCTGGGACCTTTACAACGCAACCCTCATGCTCCAGTACCTTAAAAAGATTTGACGGTACTTCCCAGTTTCAAAAATCTGGTTACTTGCTAGCATTTAAGGCTGGCAAACACAAAGAAAAATTCAGGCTTGCCACAAAACTCTAGGCACTGTTGAAATGTGAGTTGGAATTCCTCAGGCAACGTTAGTATCCTCACACTGTGTATGCAACGTTCCTTTTTCTTGCTAACTAGACACCTTTACATTCCTTTTCGCATTAATACGTATACAAGAAAATAAACTAGATATGCTAATGGCTAATACTTGCCACTAAGCCACTGCCTAAAATGCCACTAAGCTTCTGCCTAAAACGTACATTATTTTGTCAGTGTCAGAAAAAGTGAACTAAAATATCTAACAGAGATACACAGCACAATTTCCATAAGGCAGCTGCTAAGCTATAATTAGTGTAGTTACAGCTTTGCAAAAACAACTGAACCTCCAGCCTAACTTGCATTTGTCTGCAGAAACCTCAGACAAAAACAAGGGCTGGGACAAAGATACCCAGGGATGACAGTGACCAACTGGAGCAGACTTATTTGCCATGAGGTATGGCACCCATGAACCACGGCACGCCACGAGCTCAGGAAGTGCAAAAAGCTGCCAGGTAAAATCAGGGAGCACTTGCAATAGCTGCCTGTAGCAAAGAGGGTAAGTACTATCACATTAGACAGAAGTTCAGCTATCTAATCAGACTCAAATCTACGTTGACCTTTGCTGCATAGACTCTGACTGCAACACCACAATGTCCTAATTTCTACAAAATCTTTACAAGTGGAGTGGAGGAAGTCTCACATTAATCTAGAGACAAGATTCAAGAGAGCCACCAGAAAAGCTGTATTTAAGACACTGGCTGGTGACTCAGGACATCTGGGTTCACGGCTGCCTCTCCAGGACGTAAGGAGCAACAAACGCCTACAGAAATCTGTAAAGTGACTGCAAATGAGCTTGCTCCAGATCCATGCAGCCTTGTGCTGTGCCCAAGCTACAAACAGTCCTGCTAGGAGTCCTTGTTCCTCTCTGTGGACGGCACTGTATTTGCTCATGCAGGCAGAAACGTGTTCAGGGCTGGCTCAGGTTTCTCAGCACCATACTGCATTGCGTGGCACAGACCTACACTCACCAGCAAAACTTCTAAATAAATAAAAATTTACTATCACATTAAGAGCCAGACTTTCAAATTCAACAGCGAGGCATGAAGAAAGCTCACTAAAAACACTCAGCATACTAACCTCATTTCCAAAAATCTATCTGTAAGCATCCAAATGTGAGCTACCATATCACCTGAGGCCAATCATCTGTTGCACATTTTACCCCAGCCTCTCACCTCTATTTTGACTAGTGTCAGTGGAGACTTCTTAGCCAGGCAATGCTGCTTGCTATGATTTCGCAAAGTGCTACACCCAGAAGGGCTCTGCCACCAGTTGCAGCCTTGTATGTTGTTGCAATGATGAACAGGTTACTGCAGCATTGAAAACAACTGGTTTACAGGTGGAATTGGCAGTGGAGGGGATGGCGACAGCAGACGGAAGCAGAAGCAGAGAGAATAAGGGAAGGAGACTGACACAGGAGGTCTCAAGAGAAGAGCGAGCAAACTCATCAGTCCTTTTTATTCTCTCAATGAGCTTTCACAAGTATCACTACTGCCTGTTCAGACAATCAAAATATGAGCTGGAAAGAGGTAAACAATTGCTCATGGTGCAACAAAAACTCAGCAGCAGAGACTAGAAAAGACTCAAGGCAATGTTCGTAACTGAAATCAGATGCTGTTTTAACTGAAAATCTCAACAGAAGTAACAGTTTACCTGGTACGCTTGAAGCAAGCAACCCTGCAACAAGCAAACCTCTGAAAAGTAACAGGAAACATAGGACTCATTGGCAAGAGAGTTGTGTGCCACACATTTCTTTCCTTCTGTTGATGATGCTCAGCTATCTCTTCAAGATTTTGATCAATCAAGATACTTCTGTGCAGACAGCATTTCGGAGTTGAGGAGAAACTGCTTCTCGATTCATTGGTATGGCTTCCGTGCTTACCTCATAATGACCGATGGTATTTAGCTTCCTTATCCCATCCTCCATCACTTCTGAGGAACCATCAATATCTAACAATTCTCTTTGCTGCTCCTCAGACACAAGTTCTGCAGTATGACAACAACAAAAAGCAATTACAACCCAATGGCATTCTCACTGTACAGATGTTTGTGAAGAAAAACAACACCTCATTATTTTTGGACCAGTGGTTCCCAGGTGAACTGTTTCCCTCTGTCCTTGTGCTAGGTCACGTGAGAGTGGTTTTGCACTCCCACACTACAGTTTCCTTTTCTGAGGTGACCGCCTGGGTGGCTTCCATTACTGCAGGCTATTGGTGCTTCACTTTGTGTTGGTCAAGGCTGAGTTTTTGGCTCTTTCACCTAATCTAGCTATTCTGTTGCACAAGTATGCCCTGCTGTTATGGCCACATTGGGACTAGAAGAAAGGTTTCACAAGCCACTTCTAAGAGGTCACTAAAATGACCTGTACAAGACTGACATAGTATTTGTGAAGGGTGGTCAGGCACTGGTGGTGGATATAAACATCAGATACAAAAGTAAATTATCATCACTTGCTGACATAGCGTCTGAGAAGGTGAGGAAATATCTGTATCTTAGGGAGCAAGTCCGGGAGGTGACAAATGCCAAGAATGTAGAGTTTGTTAGATTTCCTGTTGGAGCACATGGGAAGTGGTATGGTGGCAACTACAGGCTTTTATCTGACCCTGGGCTCTTGAAAACCCGACAAGAAAAGGTGGGTCAACTCATCTGCTGGAATGGCCTTATTTACATCTGTACTGTACCTATCTTTATGAGTCACACGCGAACTATTACATAAACCTAATCTGACTGTAAATAAACTATATTTGTGGATTCTCCTGATCAAGGGAAATGTAGGCCTGTTGGAAGGAAGGGCGGTAGGAGGGATTGTAGGTAGGGACTAAAGTGCTTGGTAATCATGACGCGTCATCAGCTGATAAAATTTATCAACCGGCTGTACTTAGGTAGACAAGCCACCTTACTTAACTCACAAAAGGAACATATAAATTATACATGTTCAATAAAGAACATGTGTTTGTTAACTGCATGATGAAGTCCTTGCAGAAGCAAAGCAGACGTAGTTCCAATGTTCTAACTGGTAGCATAAATGATCTAGTATTTCCCTAGAAATTCCTTATAAAAGCTATGTTCTGCCTAAGTGCTAAAAAAAAAAAAAAAAAAAAAAAAAAAAAAAAAAAAAAAAAAAAAAAAAAAAAAAAAAAAAAAAATCAAAGCCAAAGGTAGGAATTCCTAACAAGAAAACTCCACAGACAGACCAGTGAACTCCATGAAAATATAACATGGTGACACTCTCTTACCAAGACCAATTTCATCCAGCTTAAGACCATAGAGAAAGCCATTCTTATTAAAGAAAGCCTGAAGGCTCTTCTCCTTGGCTTGGCCTATGGTGTCACAGTCCAGAACATTAACTTGGATAGTTTGACAGGCATCTCCACTCTCGTTTTCTGGGATTTCTTCAAAGATAATGTTCACTGTCTGGGGAAAGAAACACAAGTTATTCTGACTTACAGGGAACACCTGGCATGGGAAACCTACAAAGTCCTAACAGCAAACCTGAGAGACTTTCAGCATATTTATTATTAAAGCTATTTCAAATGAAGATTATTTGAAGGAATTATACAATGAAGCATTTAGAATTCCTCATGTCTGAAGAATCAAAGATATATATTTCCAAAAGTGTATTTTGTATTCTACTTTTGTGGAAATCTATTTCAGTGAATTACCAAAAAAAAAAAAAGACAGGAGACTAGGAAAAATGACAACGCACATCCTAAAAAAAGCAGATATTTTATTTAAAATTAATGCCTTAAAAGCAAAACTGTAAGCAACTAGAGATATGCTAAGGTTGCTAAGTAAGTCGTCATGGTAAGCATGATTGATTTTGAGTGGATAGGAGGCAGTGTTAAAATGCATATTTACACCAGCAGATTATGCTGAGTGCCTTATATTGTACAAAAAAATACACCTCCCCTGGAGACATCAGTATCTGTCTGCATACAGCCATGTCCCTAGAGACAGCAGAGACAGGGCTACTGCAGAAGCAGTGGAAAGGGAAAGCATGTTGCAGCAGACAGAACCCAAAGTGGTCCAGATCTGCACACAAAAGCCTGATTTATTCTATTAGTTATGACTCCAGGTCAAACACCCACACAACCTATCCAGTTACAACACCCCTGCCCTTTAGCTCACAGCTACTCTTAGCTGGGACACAACTCATCTGCTAGGCTGCACACAAGGCGAGTATGGACTAGAGGGAGGTGCCAATGAGACTAGGCGACCATCTCCAGGGAATCATTTTAGTCAGGTCGTACTTCTGGTCAGGTCAGGCAGATCAGCTGCCAAAAGGCAGGGAAAAAGGGAGGAGGACAGAATTGCTAGTGCCGAGCAATAATCGCAATCATTCCCAGTGCCGCAGCCTGCTCCTTGCAGAGAAATCACCGTTCAGCTACATGGATACAGACGTTCTGCTGGAGATGTCTTGGGACAGAATTAAAACAAGTGTTTTAGGTGCTGGCACTTGACTGCAAGAGCCGTAGGAAAATCTATGTACACAAACCATTCTGGCTGTTGGACATTTCTGGTATTAATACATATCTTTTGACTGAAATGAGACGACTACAGGTATGACTCAGTGGAGTGATCATTGAAAGAGGAAGCAACTAAAAAGATTTTTTCTCCCTGCTGTCATGTGAAGGAAAGAACTTCTGTCCAGGTTGCTGCAGGGACAACTTTTCTCTGTTCTCCAAAAAATGGGTAGTTACTAATAGTTGTAGAATGTTATTTTCTGCTTTATTACCCTGCAAATTCCAGCATGCTGGTAGTGAAAAAAAGTAGTCCAATGAAACATAAATTAACTTTACTGTTTCTATAGAAGCCAATGGAGTATTAAAAACAGGGTTGCAAAACTATGAAGATCAGGGCTTAACAAAGACTAGGATGTAACTGAAGTAACTGAGAATAACTTAATCAGGACACCAAGATGTTTAATTGTGAGGAAAATGAGTCCATGGAAAGGACAGACAGAATGGAAGAGGATGAGACGTGGGAACAGTGCCTGCAGAAGGAGAAGCAGACTGGATACCATGCCTCAGGTTGGGATTTCATGCAGAAAATTAGTAAAAAATATATTGGCACAGGAATGAGGGAGTCATGCTTGGTTAGGCCCACAGACCAACTGAACAGACAGCAGTTCTGTCCTTGACTTTGACTGCCCTGAGGTCATGGTCTTGTAGGATAAAAATGTGGACAGGGACTAACTGTATTTTGTCTTTGGAAAACTCATTTTAATCAAAGTCTCTGTCTCTTCTAGCCTCCGAACTGATCTTTCTGGAGTAGCTACTCACACTTTAACTGATGTTGATTTCTCTTTACATCCTTGGAAGCATTCCTTCCTTTAGTTGATCCTTTCCTCCTAACATTATCCCTACACTGCAATATTCATGTTCCTGCTTCTCCTTAATTTCATCTTCCTTTCAGACTGTCAAGACAGACTCTTTTTCTCTGCTGCATTTCCTTTTCAGCACATGCTCTCACACAGATTGCAAACAAACATGCAGCCTCTTCAGTTATTTGCATGTGAGAGTCCTCCCATCCCCGCTCAACTCATTGTAGGATGGCAGGACTGTAAAAAGAGAGTAGTCGTCCTTTATGTAGGTAGAATACAAGTCATTTATGGACTCCTTAATCGAAAGTATCCACAATGTGAGGATAACAACAACACTTTATGACTCAAAGAAGTGGTCAGATGGGAAGAAATATTTAAACACATAAAAGTCTCTAAACCAAGAGAACCAGACAGTTTTGCTCATATGATTTGCTGCAGAAGTTTATCTTAAGTGATGAAGCAATTGATGGGGAGCTAGGAAAGCCAATTATTATTAAGTCTTCCCTCTGTAGCCGAAGTTTTCATAAATCATATTTCAACCTCTCTGACAACAGGCTTTAGAAACCCTGGCTTTAGAAACCATTCATCAGAAGCTGACAGTCACAATCACTGCATTTAGACACAAAGTGTAGAACTGGAAAAAGAATCAGAAATTACCGTAAAATTATGAAAACCCTTTTATGACCAGCTCTGAAGATCAGAAAACATTTAAGAGAAATCACAGGAGGACACATGGAAGTCACGAGGAAACATCACGCCCTTTTCTAAGCTCTCTCACTTTGCAACGGAAACGAAAATACAAGTTAACTTAAGGAAAGATTCAGGAGGAAATTACAGGACATGTGGTTCAACCTAGTAATATCTAGAGTTGAGACTTCATGCACTAGAAATTACTGATTAGCAACACAAAGTCACAGTGCTCTTCAGCAAAGGTTTAACATGGGTTGCAAGAATTGTAAAAGGCTACTTAAGGAGAACAAGGCAAGCATCTGCAACTACTTGCATAAGAACTAGCTTGGAACCTAGCTAAAAGACAGGAACAAATTTTAAAAACATTTTTTCACTCATGCAGTGACAGAAATAATGACATTTGAAGACAATGCTTACAGATGGTTTTTCAGATCTGTAGTTTTCTTGAAAATGAATTTCAAACAATGAATTATTTAGTAAAGCTATTAATAACCCTAGAAGATAATAAGTGAGATGTGGTTTAATAAAGAAATGTGATAATACCATATTTTCTTAGAAGTAAAGAAAAATCATCTGGGATATTCAGGGGCTCTTATTCGTTACCCTGTTCTCTATTCAGCTATGCATCTGAACAAAGCATATTTCCATTTAACAGACAGAATGAAAAAAAAACATGAAAAACTTTTGATTGGTAAAAGTTAGAGGATTTACGTACAGGAGACAGCACCATGACATACAGCACAACAAAACTGTCTTAAACCTACTCCCCTGTCTCCCAGACTATGAAATACAATAAACAGGAAAAATCAGACTAATTATATGATCCTTCTGTAGCAGCCAGAACACTTACCCATGAAGAGGTTATAGAACAGCTAACAAATTGGCATAGAAAGTGCTACAGGAGTCACATTTAGGCTAGATGGGCACTGTGCAAAGCAAGGGCTGTACTCGTGATGCGACCCTGTGGTACTCAATCTGCATCTAATTCAGAAGACTCTCCTGTAGCCAACATCTGCACTTCTCGCTTCCTAGCGAGGGCTGTTGTGTCCTTTTCTGCTGACGAAAATCCCCATATGTCACATGCTTTTAATAGCTTCCTTATCTCTCACAAAGTGTGCCTAATAATACCACAACCATGGCGTCTTATTAGGAAATTGGGTTCCCTGTCTCTGCTTTTACTCCCTTACAGCCCTCCCACTTCTTTTAACACCCTTCTTTTAACTTGTAAAGCAGCTGAACAACCTTCCACCATGTGGCTTTGCTTCACTTTGAATAAAAGGCTGTTGGCTGAACAGGTGAATTAGATCATTTCTTCCCATCTAAAAATGCAAACTCATTTCAGCAAAGAATTCAACAGCCCAAATCCCCCTTTCAAAATAAGCCGTGACTATTCAAAAGAATGCCAGAGCACCAAGTCTACCACATGAAGAAGTCTCCCCTGGTTTTCCACAGGAGAGATTCCACCGAGAACTTCTCCCATGCCAGGCTGGCATTGTGTAGCTTTTCTATTTAAAATGAAACACTTCAGTGAAATGCTAACACTCAGCTGTGCACCAGGCTTCTTCATCAGTCATTAGGCAAATTATCCACCGAGGGGTGCAGCTGCTTGTCTGCCTGTGAGAAAGCAGGCTTGCTTCCTCAGCCTGCAAAAAGGGTCCACGAGACATCCAAGTCTCTTTCAAGGCAGTTTTATTTCTCAGTACTCAAACATAAGCACAGCATGAAACCACACAGCTCCTCAGCTCATACTAGACCAGTGCTTTTAGACGCATCTTTCCTTCAAACCCTCTGCTTGAGTATTTACTTCAGCAGCCCGTCTCTGTTCAATATGTGACCCTTTCCAGCGGAGAGGGGTAACAGTAGGGGGTTGGCTGGTCCCAAGGTCCATGGCCTTTTTGAAAAAGGCACGGGGCCTAGCCAAGGGACAGCTCTTATACAATTCATAAGCAACATGTTTCTTAGTTCTCTTTTTTCCCTCTTACAAATGACCTGAATTTTAGAAAACCTCTCCCATCCTTCCTTCTTTCTCTATGCTCAGCGCTTCTTCCTTCTCCTGCCCCAAGAGTTTATCTGCATAGTGGTGTGTTTAGAAGACCTGTGGAGCTCCCCCTGATTTTTAGGAGCCTGTCTGTATCCTGCTTTTATTGGTTTGGAACTGAAGTCCCAATCCTGAAAGGAGAGATTTGCATGCAGAGCGCCTACACCCTTGTTTGTGCCTTGCCACTGATTAAGAGTTGAACTCCCTACCAGATGCATCCCTGTGTCTTCAAGTGCCTACATAGCTTAAAAATCTGGACACTGAGTGTCTGCAGATGTGCTTCAGTATCTATCACACTCTTTTTGGCTATGTTTCTATACTTTGCTCTGGACAGGTATGTTTTAATATACTGCTATTGTGGGGCTGTGGAAAGGGGCAAAATAAAATACCAACAAAATACTTCAAGACTCAGAATGTAATTACAGTGAGCAAATGTGCAAATCCATTTGAAAACTCAGCTCAGAATTTATTCCATTTAGAAAACAAAACCTGCGATCCTTCAGGCAGATATTTTATTCCAAAGAAAGGAGAAAATACTTGGTTCCCTGTCTGTACGCTCACAGGTCCTGCATGTCATTGCAGTGCATGTGAAGCAGTGTTAGTGAGAGAAGAAAAGCTGACTCCTTCCACTTTAGCATCCTGTTAAATGGTATTCTTGAAGAGAAAACGTGCACAGCTGGCCTGCTTCCCCAGCCCAGAAAGCCTCACTGTTCCACCTAAATCTCTTTCACAGCACAGTTTTAGTTTCCAGCATAAATCTTAGACAAAACACCAAACAAAACTGTTTCCCTGTCCAGCCAGATCTAGCATCCTTGGGCTCCATCTCTGTAATTTTACTGCACAAACCTCTCTTCTTTTCTGATGGTTTTGAAGGGAACATTCAGCCCCTTCTCAACTAAGTCCAATAAACTGCTGGACCTTAGCGGGGAAAGCTGACTTATTAACCCTATAATAGTATCATTATCTCCTATTTAAAAGCAGGAATACAAAGTACAAAGGCAGCAAACAACATTCGAGAAAGGCTATCTGCTCTCTCACTTCCTCATCCATCTGCACACAGCCTTCCCCACTGATACCGAGTCCTTCGGACCACTTCCCCTCTCTCCTCTTCACTGCAGGCTGCCCACAAAACCCGATCAGCAACTGCATGCATAGCAGTAGCACTAGGAAAAGTATTTAAGGCAGTGTTCAGCAGTTTCAGAGTCAGCTATCCCCCCAAGGTGCTCTCAGTTTGAATTTGTGCTATAAATAAGAAAAGTCAATCAATTCCAAAGGACCAGATGTTCCTGTGCAGTCTACTAGTAACGGGCATATTGAGCTTATTTGAAAATTGTTGCTCTGCATAACTACTGGGTTTTGTATCCTTTGGCTATATATAGCAATACATTTAAACTTACCCTGGATCCCAAATGCATGCCAGAATGCAGTGCACAAACAAGGAAACCAAAGATACGGTATTACGCATTCAATTTTTAGTCACAAACTCCCTGTCCAAATGCACACTGTGGTAACTTAGCTTGAGGTACCTTCAAATGAAGCTTCCAACAGCAGCTTTGTAAATAGCTATAAGAAGATTTGACTATAAATTTGTCAATCCAAGAGCTTTCAGCAGAAAATGACAATTCAGAAATGTTTTGCAGAGAGGTTGTCCTTTCAGTGAGCTTCCTACGTGACCCAGTGAGCCAAGTCCAACGGATTGCTGACCAGCCAAAATTTCCAGGGTCACGTAGTCTACTCCATTATGCGGCATCATAGGACCTCCAGGTTCTTGCTGCAAAAACAGAAGATGGGCAGACCTGGAAGGTCTAGCCCTACCTGAGGCTCACGATATGGGCTCTGAAAAGGCCTGAATTCTCCTCCAAAGGCACCGGCACTTGCGGTGTCCCTGCCATGGCAGTTGTTGCCCTGGCAGCTTCTGCTCCCAAGCTCTGAAGCCTGCTATTCAGTCGCACTTCTCATACTCCTAAGTATGTGTGGTAACTCTGACAAGAAGCCAGGAGTTAAGAAGCAAGGAATCTATGGAAATGACTGGAAATGCAGATTTTTAAGTTGTCAGACTCAAAATCACTTGGAAATTCTGGGGAAAAAAGCGCTCTGGTTATTCTGAAAACCTTTTTCAGACCTCCTACTCAAAACGTCACAATTTTTTACACGCTCCGAAGTGCAATAATCCTTGCTGTCCCTTCTCCCCTCAGTGTCAGAATGCCAATCAGTAAGGGAATTCCAGCTTTCAGAGAATTCTGGGTGTAACTGTGAAATAGGAAGCACTTTGCAGTTGCTTTGAGAAAGGCAAGAAATCTATGGTAAAGTTCAGAAACTTAGCTAGGCTTCCCAGATACCTTGTTTTTAACCAAACAACTAATTAAAATCCATCACACTGTAACCTTGCTAATTTGGAGCTAATAAAATGGAAACCCACAGCAAATTATTGCTGCCTGAAGATTAGTCACAAGTAAACACAATAGAAAAATAAAACCTCTGCATTCCATTCTTTCATTCATTGGAAAAGTGTAATTTAGTTTAAATTCTAAGCATATGTTTATATTTTTCTAGTACACTTTAAAATAAGAAGGAATTTTAATACCCTGAGACTTCATTAAACCTAACCTTTGGCGATTAAGGCATGCTGTGAAGTGAGGAGTGAGTGCTATTTGTGAAATGTATATTGGTGAAATGCCAGCTAGTTAAACTCTACTGTGTTTTGAAACTTCGTCAGCAATAACAATTTTATTATCTGGGTACTTAACCATCACCTTTGTGTCTAAGACCCTTAATTTAGCTTCCTAGAAAGAGAGAAAACATTGTAGTTGTCCGTGTTTGGAGGGAACACAAACTGGCAAACATACCACTGTTTTGAATTCAGACACTTGCCACAGCAGCCAGTCTTCGTTAAGCGTGTACAGGGCTTTGCAAGTTATCGCGTCAACAGGTCCTTTGTTTATCCTCTGATTGAGGGTTGTCACTAGCAAATAGAAAGGTTCACCAATCGTCTCCTAGGACATGAAACAAACGCAAGGAACATGTTTATTAATGGGCATTAAATGGGCATGAATAACTAGGAAAAAATCAAGTGTAACAAATTAAGTTATTTCCTTTTAACTAACTTGTTATCTTGAAATTAGAAAAGAAAATCCCTCTGAACAGATTTATCTAGTTATTTGTTTAACCTCCATCCTTTGCTTTTCAGCGCAAAAGCCTCATGCAAATAGCAAGGGACAGCTGGAGCGTGTGGCAAGATAGCTCGCAGCCCCTTGCTGTGCACAAGCATACTACAGGCAAGCTGCTCCTGCTCCACCTGGCAGATGCTTCCTAGTGCCACCAAAGAGCGGGTGGGGGGTGAGACGTGCATGTGTTCACACGTATACTTCAGCTATGTCTTCCTTTTTCAGTCTTGTGAGAAAACAAGCTAACAACTAGTTTCCTTTTGAATTGGCGACTCCCCTTGTTTTCTCTGAAAAAAGCCTTGGGAGCAAGGTGGTGGGACATACACTGGTGTATCAGCGAAAGAGGGAATGAAACTGGGGCTTCCCTCTCCTGCCCGAACTCCAGGCTTCAGAAAAGCACCTGAGAAAGGAAGGATGGATCTTTGTTTCCACGTGACACCATTCCTGCAACCTGGCTAAGGCATCTCACTAGCACAGCTCTGTAAAGATGACTGGTGTATCGAGAACACATCTCTGACAGTTCCTTGGCTCTCTCCTGGGGTCTCAGGAAACCGGTGTGAGCTGCTGAGCCTCAGACAACTCTGCTGCTGTATAAATGCAAGGACTGATATAAGTGATACCAACAGTGCGATACCATCACGCTGGCAAGAGAGATAGGAAGCATAACCAAGCACTGGAACCAAGAATGAAGTGCTACCAAGTGGCTAAAATAAACAAACAGTAAAACTAAAGAAAATGCATACTTTGTTTCCACTTGAAGTCATTTAGTTCTTGAAATCTGCAATGCTGTTTGGAGGTTAAAAAGTTTGGAAACAAGTTTAGTTTTCCAAAAGATGGTATTCCTTAAATCTCTATTACATGGTAGCTTTCCAACAGCTTGCATAGAAAGGTATAGCTGCATTTTAACAAGTGTGTCAGTCTTTTAGTATGATCACAATACATCTCACGGAGATGAAATAATGTCTGACATGAGGAAAGGATATGCTAGAATTGCAAAATTACCCAAATCTCAGCCAAATAAATGACATGATCATCGCTTATAGATGCGCTCTTTTCCTACATCCCATTGATGACAGCTAGTTAAGTCACCTAAACTAGAAGAGTGCACGTTAATAATGTCAAATGTTAGACTGAATGCTTTAAACTGATCCCTCTAATTCCTAGGGAAGAAATCAGTTTAAAAAATTCTTTGCTTATCTTAGATAGTGAAAAGATGTACACGTACCCGGAGAAATCCAGAAAGGCAGACAGACATCCAGTTTGTCAGTAATTTTTCTACCACAGATTCAGTTCGTCTGAGCAGGAGCTTAGGCTGTACATTGCTTGATTGCTCCATCAAATCCTTTGTCAATACTTCCAAAATATGGGTTAGATAAACTAGCTTAGTTTGTAGTGCAATAGTCAAGAAGGATGCAAACAAGCACCTGTTAAAAAAAAGGGGGGGCGGGGGGCGGGAAACAGGAATGCTATAATATTTGGAATTTCTCTTCCCAGTCATCTTTAATAAATGAAACACACTTTAGTGCAGTTCATATCCTAAGTTCTCCCTCCTCAGGCACAGAAACTGTCCACTGATATCTACAAAAGTATAAAAAAATGCAAGTCCATCTGCTCTTGTGATTATTTTTTAAACACAGAATTTGTGTCTCTAAATTTAATTCTGCAGAACAACACCCTCTTCAGCAACAGAACAGTTCTAAGCTGTAGAACTGCTGATCTAACTGCAGGAAGTGTTTACAGTTTTGAAGTGAGTTTTCCCGCTCCTTTGTCTCTTTGTTTACATGTACAAACATCCTGATTTCTCTTTAATGGCTTGTTTTAATCGCAATGTTTTTTCTTCCTCAGTGTGTGCAGATGGAGAAGATGGAAAAATGCTCTGGAGTAATGCAAGTTTGTTTTGCAAGAAGCAGAAATTACATTTTTGTGCTACAATCCATGTTGTTTTTTCCTGCTAATTCTTTGTCTTGAAGATGATAAGCATAATCATACTATACCTGTCTTTCACAGAGAAATTTTTCTGCTTTTCAAGGGTGTGAATGAGAGTAACAAGAAAGTTCTTGTTACAAATTAAAGCATGCAACATGTTGAAGCTTTCATCCTTGCTCGTTTGGTCTCTGCTCTGGAACAGTTAAACAAAAATAAGCAAACTGTAGTTTGGCTCTGATGGATTCTTAATGCTCAGAAAAACGGTAAGCAGCATATGGCATAAGATCCTGGCCTCATTCAAATCAGTGGGAATTTTGCATTTATTTCATGGGTCTCAGGATTTTACCGAAGATGCATTTGCATTTGTGTACAACACGGAGTACACACATGTAAAGCATGCATTTTCTGTCATATACACAAAGTAATGCCAATAGTTAAGTTTGCCTGTCATTTCCCATGACTAGATTCTGTTTATTTTATTTAAATAAGTCATAATATACATTGGATAACAGCATCTTACACAGCAAATTCTTTTTATGTATAAATTCATGTAACCTTCCTTATGGGGGAAAGGGAACATATTGAAAATGCAATCTGATGTGTTCTAGGACAACACTGAGATACGGGATACAATCACTCTTGAAAACATATTTACTAATTAAGGCATATCAAACTACATCAACTTACCTGTGGCATGTCTTCACTGAAGATGGATGCAAAGCCTCCTGACTAAAATATAAGACAGGTGATATTTATCATTCTTATGTATACCAAAAGTTTCTAACACATGTACGTTAAACACGTCAAGCATGTTCCTGATAGCATAAAACCTGAAATAAAACAATGGAAATGCTGGCTTCTAATGAGGCTACAATATAAAAACTCTACACAGTAACTTCTGCAAAGGTGCTGCCAAGGTTCACTGAAAAGCAGACTCTCAAAGATGACCTGGTATTGACTTCAGCATTACTGTGTGTGTTACTCTGTGGTGCTGAGCCACACTAGCACAGCAGTCAACTAATGCTCTGCAGGAAAAGCTGTTTATTACCCTCATCTGCACATGTGCTGGTGTGCAAGGGGTGCTGCAGGCTGCATCCTTCTTGGACAGCAATGATAGCCTTTGGTATACGGGGTTTCTGTAACAGAGTGACACTTGAGTTCATTTGCCTCCATTCATTTCAAGGCACTTCATGAATGTTCCCTAATGAACTCTCCAGGAGGTCCATGCTGTCAGTCTCCAGAGAGGCACAGCTGCCACCACACATCCAGTCCTAGCAAAAGCTCTCACAACAAAGAGAAGCCCCCAGTTCTCAAATACCTTGTCAATGCCTCTTGTCTGACTCTTACAGCCTGTAAGGCCCCAACACAGCTGTGTGTTCCCAAAGCAGCACTCTTGAGCAACAAATTCACACTAGTAACATTTACTGTCATCTGCTTTATCTGTGATGCTGGCAGCCCCTAGTTTCCTTATAGAATCACAGAATGGTTTGGGTTGGAAGGGACCTGCAAAGATCATCTAGTCCAAACCCCTGCCATGGGCAGGGACATCTTCCACTAGATCAGGTTGCTCAAAGCCCCGTCCAGTCTGCTCTTGAACACTTCTAGGGATGGGGCATCCACAACTTCTCTGGGCAACCTGTTCCAGTGTCCCACCATTCTCATAGTAAAGAATTTCTTCCTTATGTCCAATCTAAATCTACCCTCTTTCAGTTTAAAACCATTGCCCCTTGTCCTGTCACTACAGGCCCTGGCAAAAAGTCTCTCTCCATCTTTCTTATAAGCCTTCTTTATATTGAAAGGCTGCAATAAGGTCTTCCTGGAGCCTTCTCTTCTCCAGGCTGAACAACCCCAGCTCTTTCAGCCTTTCCTCACAGGAGAGGTGTTCCATCCCTCGGATCATTTTTGTGGCCCTCCTCTGGACCCGCTCTAACAGGTCCATGTCTTTCTTGTGCTGGGGACTCTAACAGATCCATGTCTTTCTTGTGCTGGGGACCGCAGAGCTGGATGCAGTACTCCAGGTGGGGTATGACCAGAGTGGAGTAGAGGGGGAGAATCACCTCCCTCGACCTGATGGCCACACTTCTTTTGATGCAGCCGAGGATACAGTTAGCTTTCTGGGCTGCAAGCGCACATTGCCGGCTCACATCTCATTTTTCATCTACTTATCTGATTTTTCACCCCTCCCTTTCCTCATGCCTCCTGTTCTCTTCTCCCCTACCATACTCTTCTTCCTCTTCCTCCACTGGCTATTCCCATTTTTCCAGAACTTCTTCAGCATCCCTAACACCACCTACCAATAAAAAAACCACACACACACAGAGTGAAACAACGGGAACCATGTTCAAGGTTAAAAGTGCTTATGAACAGGAAACAAGCATGGTAGCATTAAACCAAACAATGTGGGAAATTGAGGGAAAACAGAAATAATAATCCAAATTTAACAAGTAAAGCAAAAATCAGGCTGAACATAAGGAATATTTTAAGAATAGATGTAATATCCATTTAACACCTATAAGTATTAAGCACAAAACAAAAGCTATCAAGCCAGATTAAATATAGAAAACTGAAGCAGCAGGAAGTGAGAAGCTCAAAATGAAGACAGGGTCCATCACTCTTAATTGTAGGTATCTGACTCCCTCTTTAAGCAACTCATCCTGTCCTGAGACAGATGTCTCAGGCAAGCGGGATGACTCACTTTCTTGAGCTGCCTGTCTCTGCACTGACTACAGAAGATGCTCAGTGAACAGCTTTGATTTCCGTGTTTAAAAACCTTAGATTAGATGAGACAAAACCCATCGAACGCACTGGAAGGCAGAGGGAGTACAATATGGACATCATTCAAACACATGAGGTTAGTGAGGGAAGCGGTGGTTTGTCACTTCGACCCTTCTGTCAACCCTTCTGACACTCGGTTTCAATCTACTACCCCATTGCCTTTTCTGTTCATCTGTAATATTTGTTTAGTAGAGCACTGGTCTCCTACCACATTCATACAGCACAAGGCATGTTTGGACACTCCCGCAATGTAAACGATAAGTACTAGGCAGGAAAAATTGGTACACAATACGTTAAATAACTTGCCTGACGCTGCATGTCTGTAGAGAGCTAATAGTGGCAAGTTTACCTTCGTGGTATCAGTACTTCAAACTGAGACAAAATCTAATTGGAATAATTTCCAGGACGTGCAGTGGCTTGAGACTCGCCAAGGCAAAACAGGAGCCCTTCCCTTTCTGACCTCACATCATAATGCAACAGAGTGGCAGACTTCATGCCTTTTTTTCTTTCCTTTTTATTTGCATAAAGCAAAGCATTTCAACCCAGACAGCATCTACAGATTGTTACTGTTTTGACAGGGGACTATCACTAGGAAAAGACATATTCCTAAAAATAAAACCACTATTTTAATGCTAATATGCCTGACAACAAAACAAACTGGAAGGAAAGAGATGCAGAAAGTAAGGTTTTCTTGGTCCACTTTCTTCAAACCTCCTAGTGACCCCATACAAATTAGACTGGGGACATCACACCAGTACCAGAAGAGATACTCCCAGTTTCCTTTGGTGTGAGAACTGGACTCAAAGTGTACAAGGACTATGCATATGTAATTGTTAAATATTATTCTGCCTTAGTATCTGGTATTTGGTGTTGTACAAAAAAAAGGCCCTGATTCTGCACTATGACATGCGTTTAACTTCATCACAATGAGCTTTTAGCGGGATCACACATGGCAATAAAGTGAAGCAGTGTGCAGATAAGACTGCAGGACTGGGCCGCAGCAGTGATGAGTAACACATAAAGACTAGTACAAAATTCACATACATACCAGCTATACCCTAAAACACCACAGCACTAACCAAGGGTTTCTACTCATTGGTGTCAGTTACACAGCAAAATATCACCAGCTGAGATCACAGCTTCTGCCAATTAGTAAATGCCGGTAAGCACTGGTTAACATCATGACATAATTTTGGAAGCTGTGGCAAATGCACTTATCAGCATCGTAATGGGCCACATATGCAAAAAAATAGCAAGAGAAGTAAAACATTCAAGAGAAGGCCTCTTTTGTCCTCTGACACAGTGGCACAAACTGCTCCAAAGAACAATGAAAATGTCCTCCTCTAAACTGGACAGCCCATAAGTACTTATGTAATTTTAAAGCATTTGACCTGCACTCCTTTGAATCAAGGTCTTACCATTTCTGTTAGCAGCTTGAAGTAAAAAGACAGCATGACCTTAGAACCACTTCTTCATTCCACAAGTCTAATTACAAAGTGTCATGATGTTAGCTAGCATGTTAGCTAGCCTGACCATTACTTTAATTAGCTATAGCATGGAAAGTGAAAGCATGAGAACAAAAAAAGCAATGGATAAATTATAGCTTAGTTAGGATGGCCTGAAAGGCAAGCAGCTTAGTGAGGCTGGGCAAAAAAGAAATGGATGCACACACAACCCTTGAAAATTCAACAACGGTGCTTTATCTACAGCACTGAGGCTTGGTTAAATATAGAGATGTATAGCATGAAGTGTTCTCTGGTAATTCTTGATTTAAGAAAAGTTTCTTGTGAAAACAGCGTGCAATTACTGTGTAGTATTTACTTTAGTTATTTGATTCTGACCGTCCTAGCTTTTTCATTATTAGACAGGACTGACAACTGAAAGACTCGTAAATATTTACCTCTGGAAAGAAAGTTCTAAGAGCAAAGTGTTTGTAGTCAAGGAAGGGAACGGTTCCAAAACTATCCACCACATCCAATTCATCCATCTGCAGTTCAGCAAATCCTGAAAAAGCACCCCCCCTCCCCACCCAGAGAGTTAGTTTAGTTGACATAAAATCACCTTCACAATTATAAATTGGCCCCAATAGATGTTCCTTAAAAAAACAGTTTTCAGGGAAGAGGGGTTGTTTTTTCTAGCTGAAGCTCTTATGAGCGGGAAAGTACCAATCCATTTTTTTCCCACTTGTGTTGAAGGAAATATTACATGCAATCTTATTAGGTCAATGCTGTCTGCTACTGCAGTGCACACCAACGTTAAAGAGGAACTTTGATACAACACAAAAATATTCTAACAGTTGTAGAATTAAAATGTTTATATAATATGAGCTTCTTGACAGTTTCAGTTCAGAAATTATGCTGTACTTAAGCTCTATAAAGCTCTTTAGACCTACCCTCCCGTATTTCCTTCCGAATCTCATATTCCAGTAGTTCAAGTTGCTGACTCTGTTTACGAGTTAACTCTTTGGATTTGTATCTAGTAACTATGAATGCCACTAAAAAGGAAGAAAAAAAGATTCTGAGCACAGAAACTGCAGAACAGACAACCCCTATACAAGACATATTTTAATATTATTTTAAGAAACAGAAAGATTAATAAACACTTGCACTCTCCAGGAGGATTACTGTTTCTACTGTTGTCAGTGTGCTAGTACCCATGAGCTCTATTTATCTGGATCTAAACCCCAATGTTTAATAAAAAACGTTCTTTTTAACAAGGTCTTAGAATTGTCAATCCAAATTTATTTGAAAGTACAGCACACCCTGCTATGTACAACCCGCACAGTGAGACACAGAATCTAACAACCGCTTCTACTACTAGCAACCTGCTGAAAGTTGCACTGATTAAGCAGGAAAAACAGTTGTTTTGAACAAGAAATCCACTTCCAAATTGTTAACTTCTCTAAAACGTATTTTGAGAGAGTAAAGGCATGAGATACAGTTCCTGTAAAGGTAATGCCCTTTTTAAAAAGAAACCCAACCAAACAAAAGAACAAACCCCTAAATTTATTACAATAAATGGAAATTTATCGAATATATAACCAGGTCAAAACATTCAAAAAAAAAAAAAAAAAAGGAGTGACAGAAAGAGGAGAGGATAACTATTTACCCCCTCAATTTAGTAATGACCTACAAATTCATGAATGATCCAAATGAGACTGAGCAGAAGCACCACACACACTGCCTGAGGATAAGCAGTTTGTTAGGGAACATCTGCCCCAGGGACAGGAGGGGGGCCCAGCTCTGACAGCTGGAAAGGCCCCATTTGTGCCACAAGGAGTCAGTCCTATGGCTTGCCTCACTAAACGGTGGTGAAGAATCCCAGCAGAACAGCCAAAACTACTGTCTTGTAACATGCTGTAGTCTGACAAGACAGACTTCACCGCCAGACCAGAGTTAACTTTGTCCACTCTTATCGGGAACAGCGGAAAACCACCAGGCTATTTGTGACAGTCCCAAACATGTATGTGTGTATGTATATGTGTTTATGTTTCATGATTATACCCTTCAGCAAATCAAAAATTGAAAACACATTATTGTACTTACCTATAATGACACACACTATGATAGGCAGCAAAATAAGAACATATAAATATATGTGTGATGATGTTGGTTTGACTTCATGCTCAAAATTTCCTAATTTGACCTGAAGAAAAATAATGGCTGTGTTAATAGAGGATAGGTATTATATCAGTACTTAAAACGACATTTAATGTATAAAAAAAGATGTATTTGAGGCGTATGAAGGACCCTGGTTCTGCAGATTATCGGGAAGACAGGAGCAATTCGGGAAAACATATGTGAACCGCAGAAACTTAACTTTTACTGTATTTGATGTTTAAGCAGGGTAACAGCAGCGACAAGAGAAAAATTTGGAGGTCCTCATGCAGCACCAAATTTTGCCATTGCTCTCACTGCAAACTAGAGCGCACAAATGAATGGCAAGATCTAGCCTCCAGCTGGTCAAGTGGCTCATGCACTTCAGAATCGCTGCTAAACGCTCTGGCATTTTGAAGCGAGGAAGGCACACGTTGACAGTTAAAAACATTCCTTTGCACTCACAGTGTTACTCTGCTGAGCAGAAAAGTAAGATAAGACTCACGCTAATAATGAGGGAAGTAAAATTTTTGATAGATGCCTGGCCCACAGCCCTCTTCCCTATTTCTTTGCAGAAGTTTCAACCTCTTTATGTAGGATGTAGGGCGTTCCTGAAGGTCCGCTTAAGAACAAATACAACATACAGTACATGTACAACATCCCCCAACAGCCACTGGGCTTGTCAAAGGCAGGACAGGCATTAATTCTTAGGAATACACGAAAGTGCTGAAGTCTGCCAGATGCCAAACTGAGGCATTCACCACTGATAATTATGGCAGAAGAAATTTCACAAAGGAGGATCTCAAAGAGGACTGTGAAAGCACATAAATAAAGGGTAGCTAAGACTATAAACAAGTGAGAAGTAAAAATACGCTGTGACACAGAAAAAGAATACCACCAAGTGCCAGGGATAGAAATGAACCTGAGATAATTGAAAAGGAGAGTTGGGTTGAAATTATTTTGGGTTACAGCAGGGAAGGCAGAGATCTGGTGATTTCAATCAGTGGCTTGTCACAGGAGGTGAGCAGCCAGGGCAGCTGGATGCTGCCAACTGCATCGTTACTTCACAGCTACACGGACATGAGTGAGCAAAGAAACCCCACAGGACTGGAAGGACACAGCCCTCGTATTTCTGGGGCTACAAAGAACAGAAGACAAAGCAGACCTATTTCCTCCATCAAATGTATTTTTCCCTTGGTTGTTTATGTGTTTTCACAGTTCCTATACAAAGTACTTTCAGTCCGAGCCTTTCTAGGATCCCATTTGCCTTTTCTAAGGCTGAAATGCATTGGTGCCTACATACATGAATCATCCCATGACTAATACACCTGACTTTCTGCACTTGTCATGTCCAACCAAAGCATTCCTAATGCAGAAATTCCTGTTACTCATCCCTGCTTATTGAAAACTGAGGCAAAGCATTCATTTAATTTTCTGTTCATACTTAGATTATCTTCAATCTTCACCATAACCTTCCTACTCAATGGCTCCATTTCCTTCCTTATCTTTTATTTATCTTGCTTATGAATCACGGACTAAATAAAGTACAACTGAATTCATCTGATTCCTATTCCTAAATTCATTTCATTCTTCCTGCATGACATTATAAAATCTCCTCTGGACTGGTAATGCCTCTAAGCTTTATGCCATCAGCAAATGTTTTTAGTACATTTTTGTGCTCAAGTCACTAGTGATATTAAATAATATCTGTATGAAAATCAACATTGTCCAAAGTCAGCTCCCCATACACAGCATCTAGTTTTTCTAATCCCTAGCGTCTTCATAATCACCATGTTAAGTAGTTTACTGAATGACTTCCAGGTACATGTGATCTACTGCTTTTTTGCTGTTGAGGAAATCACTCATCTTACCAAATAAAGATATCTAGCATAATCTGCCTTTATTAAAAAGAAGTTGACAATTATGCCATTTTCCATTTACCTCCAGGTCTTTCATGAGTCCCTCATTCAAAATACATTATAAAGCTTTACACAGAGCTAGGATTAAATCAGCAAACCTTTATTTGCCTAGTTATTTTTTTTTCTTTTAAATACTGGTTTTGTATTTGCTGCTCTCTAGTCATACAGTATCTCTCCTGACTCTACAGGTTTATTTAAAACCTTTCCTACTAAGCCTACAATATCATGTGCCAGTTCTTCCTCAGTGCTGTTATGGGAATGATCCTGTTCCAGCTGCCTTGAGCCCCTTGATCTATCTGAATCTTGCTTCTGTCACAAGAATGGCATTTTCTTCTTTGACACCTCCATTCAGACTGATCATCCTGTCTTTGACCCCACACTTAATATCCTTTTTCCTCCTGAAAACTAAAGCAAGAGATATGATTATTCTTGGGCCATACCTACCTTTTATACCCAGCTTATCCTTTCTGCAGAGTGGCCCTAGTTCTTCTATGATGATTTATTTATAAGATTAAAAAAAAGTGTGATGATTTCCTACTTTTACATTTTTCTTGATGTTGGAAAAAACAATTTTTAAGGTATCAGAAGTGAAATGTTACATTATAACTATTGCATTTGATTTGCCTTAGCAAAGTGGTGACCTTTCTGTGACAGTCACTCCTATGAAGCTTGCAGGATGAACATGTGATATTGCAAGGCAACGTTAATATTTAAATGCAACACCAATCTCAGAAAGGCTTTTCCATGCCGTAACTGGCTCAGACGGCTGGATCCACAGATGGGGGATCAGTTAACAGTGATATGAAATTGAGAGTAGCTTCGTTAATCTTTACTATGAGCCATATGCCTTGAAGTCAATAGAGTTATTTCAGTTTTCTACCACCATACACTGCAATAAGAGTCTGGCATCATTCTTCTCCCTCATAAATGGTGATGATTGCTTTTTAAAAAATTCATATCTTCATCTTATTCATGGAGCAAATATCTTAAGCTGCCATTTAGCTTTGACATCCATGCTAATGTTCTTATATTTGTTTCTTATATTTGGGCCTGGCTTTGTGCCATATGTTCACAGCATTTTGGCCTCCCCAGTGCATGCTGAATTTTACCCCCTTTCTCATCCAGAAATGCCTTCTCTTCTGTCTTAGTGGTGATCACTATGCACTGCTCAAGAACCTTACCCACTTTAGTGGGAAAAAGTGAATGGGAGAATGCAATCCTTTTCCTTATTGCCACACTGCAGCAGCAGATTACTTACAGATCTAAGATGAGGGGCTCTCCTGGAGCCAGTGATGCTTTATTGGTGATGTCTACTGCAGCCAGAGGTCTGACAAGCTACTGCTCTCCTGGAGCTCAGCAGCAGTGAGCTGAGCTTGGACTGCAAAGCCTACCTCTGACACTACAGCAGTAACCAGGCAGTGAATGAACTCAGTACTGTTAGTGGTCCCTAAGCTAGGCAGGCATGCTCAGATGTGAGGAAGATAACCGGATTACCAAGTACCAGGAGAACAAAAAATGCATCCAGTTCCTCCCACTATAAAGAGTATTCATGACCAGAGCATTAATGCTACATTTTACTACATTTGCATAAACATCCAAATATTGTTAAATTGCAACAAAAGGGAATTCTACTTACAAAAACTTTCACTGTGGAAAAGTCAATCTTGTCTGTTCCTTCCCTTTTGAATTTGCACAGTATGGTGCTACGGTCTGGTTTTTCGGTAATATTTTGGACGCTGAACCATACCTTTTTGGTCTGTGCACCATTCATATATGACAGATAAACCTCTACCTCAGTTTTAGAAATATTCAAGTTGTCATTTTCTTTCTAGAGGGAAAAAATTGAAGATAATAAACAGTCACTAAATACAATAAGAAGTAAAATGATCCCCAACAACTATTTCAAATAAGGAATTATAGTTTATTACTTTCAAACTTACATATATTTTTAATTCCAGATCAGGATCCAGCTCAGTGTGCAGCTGGTAGTTAATGAACACTGGGTCAGGGTGATAGTGTAATTTGACACATGGTATAAAGGTAGTTTCCACTTTTAACATCATATCAACAACTTTACCCTCTGTTGCATGGCTCAGGCTTGGCGTTAAGTAATGATATTCAGATTCATTTCCAGGACACCTAGAGACCTAGAAATGCAATAGCAAAGCTGCAGTCATTAAGCACTCAACAGTGGGTACACTTACAAACAGAGGCACTCAAAATCATTTTAACATCTTCCTGACTTCACACAGGTATCTGCTAAACCTCTTCTCTGCGATCAGGGCTGCATGCAGAGCACCTGGGAAAGTTTCTGTGTTGATCCTGTGTCTACCTTTGCGCACGTTTATCACACACTCTGCATGCTGCTTTAAGGCAGATTGCACGCTGCTAAGGCAGCTATTTCCTGCAGTGAGACAGGAATAGTCACAGTGATTTCTCCTTCCTTCCCCTCAATGCAGGTGACAAGAGAAGAGCAGGACGAGCTTTCCAGCACCCCTGGGCATTGGCTCTCCCCAGCTTAACTCCTGACAGAGGGGAGTTGCTACAGTCACTCCATTGGTAACGCCATGGGGGGGTGCTGCTGTTTTCTGGTCTCTGTGCTGCAAGCCCAGGAGGCAACAGGGTGCCCACCTCCTCACAGCCTCAGAGGAGGGGTTTTGTCCCAAAATCAGCTCCAGTCTCCCGCCCCTTGCTGAGGCAGTGGCACCATTTGGGTTCTCAACACAAAGCCAGAGAGAAGTACAGCACCCCCTCGTCCAAAAGACCCCATATATGGAGGGTGGGGAGGCTCAGAAAGGATGGATTTAGAGCAAGTCTCTAGAGCATAACAAAAAGGCTCAGGGAATTATGCAGGAGAGTAGCTTATGTGTTTCCATGATCCTGTCCGGAGAATGTGTGCAACTGTAATCCTACAAGCGGTCATATTTATTTCAGTAGGGTGACTGCTGTGTGCCTGCAAGGGTTTGAAAAATATTGAGATCCTCCTGAAACCTTAGGAATAAAACCTAATCCCTGAAGATCCCTCCTTTATTTAGTATCGTAAAGGAGATTAAGACTTACAGTGAGGTTTGATCTCTGGTCATCTGAAATAATCACGCTGTCCACCACATTAAAATTTCTACCAATTGTAGTAATTCTGCGACCACCACTGTAAAAAAAGAAGGGGGGGAAAGGAAGGTTAACATCATCTGTTTTCCCACAGGTAAGTCCTACATTAAGGCTTCAGCCGTGAATAAACTACACATGCATTTTGCTTTGGTAGCAGCCAGTATAATAAAGTCAAACTGCAGGACAAGATAATTTGAGCTATACAGTGTACTTCTATTCTTTCCTCATAATGTAACGGTAAATGCTTTTGCTACCGCAAAACCAAATGACTTGATAGCATACTTCTTTTCAGGGACTCTCCGCCTTGTTTTCTATTCATGCAGCCAAAGAACTAGACCATGATTTAATATTCTGTCTTGAAGACATGGTATTTCACTGCCCCAGAGCAGCCCCACCTGTGCTTAATTCTTGCCTTCTTCAGGACAAACGATGGTGCCAGGCACCTCACAGGAAACATTCTCGGCAGCGTTCAGACCATCTGTCTCAGCACACACAATGGTGCTTGTGTCTGAGGGCTCTGGCTCACCACCTCTGCTGAACGCAGTTGGAGTGGTTTAAGGCATTATTAATTTCCAGCTGCCTGAGCTGCCCCTCACCTTGGAGATGAGGGCATGTGTCCTAGCTGCTCAGCTGCTGCAGCTGCCAGCCCAACTTTTTACCTCAAATCTACACTTGCCAGCGCTTGATGCCAAGATATCAGATTAAGAACGTGAAAGTGGGTAAAAACTGTGCAGGCAGAGGGACAGGTGGAAAGCTGTGCCTGAGAATATCTTAAAACCACTCTGTAAGTCTTTCACCGGAGCTGTGAGTCTCCCACAGAACACAGCAGAGGATTGAAAAGGGCTCTTTTGGCTTTAGGAAACCTGGTCCTAAAGCAAGTCTGCACGTATCACTGCAGTGGTGATTATTTTCACTTCATTTCCAATTCACTGACACTTTATACTGTTTTGGAGGTGAAGGGTATATTAGTATCAAGAAATCAAAGTTAACTGGAGTTTGAATTTATGTGTGCTACCCATATTTTGGATTTAGCTTTAGTATGAAGAGACTATTTTTGACTTCTACAAAGGAGACCTGGGGTGGGCAGAAAGGAGTTTACAGAATCCTGCAGAATTCAGAATTTCTTGCAGAAACACAGAATCTGTCTTGCAGCTATCATGACCCTATCTGTATGTTAAATGTTAAATCAGTTCACCGGCATAAATTCATCCTCCACCACAGGTTACAGCAGTCATCCAAGTTTACATCAGCTGCAGTCTGGCCAAGGAAGAAGGCTTATATCAGCTCAGTGGGACTACATTTTAAAAAATACATAAAAAGTACAGAAAGACAAATTTACCTGATCCAGGAGCTATTTGGTGTGATTCCAAAACACGATGGCAGTGAAACATAATGTAGGGTCATTGGTGGTGAACATTTTTTCCCATTAGCCAGTATACATATACTTTTGGCCTCTTTACGTGTTGGTGGGAGAGCAAACGTCATTTGTGTATCATTTAGCACATTTCTAACTTCAATGCTGGAGGAGAAAAAAAACAGTCAGATGCTGAAACACAGATGCCACTATGCCACTCACTGGTGTTACTACACAAAGCCGATAACCTAAAGCAAAGGATGAGGAGAGAAGAGGAATGAATCTCTCTTTGAGCTGCCAGATGGAAGTGGAAAGAGAAAGCAGGGAGCTGAAAAGACAAAGTAGGGTCTCTTTTGAATGAAGTTGCTGTGTGTCACAATAATCACAGAAGACGGTACAGATATTGGTCTTATGGCCTTGGGATGAGGCTATGTAATGCAATGTATCACTTTGCTGTGTAGACTGTAATTTGCTGTGTACTTCTGTGTGCTACCAACACACCAGCTAGTCAAGAATGAGAATCTTCAGTTTCCTTTTCTTTCCCTCTTCCCCCCCTCCTTTCTCCCTTTCTTTCCTTCCTCCCTTTCTCTCCTTCCTCTTTGTCTCTACTCCCTCTCTCTTTCTCCTTTCCCTCTCTCCATCCTTCTCTCCTTTTGTTTTCTATGGTCCCCAAGAAATTCAGGGTTGAACTAAAAATTGAACTGTACCATATGAATACTTTTTCAAGTGCTAGCTATGTAAAATGGGCTTGGTAATCACAGACAGCCATTGCAGCTGCACCTGAAAATGACTGATTCAGAATAAGATAGCCTAATTATCTAGGGGGTTACGCTGTGCAATCATCAACAGAGAAAAGTACGCGCTGTTGCATGAGAGATTCCCTTCCCTGGCACGGTGTCTGTGCTTTCACAAGCAGAATCCTAGAATATATGGGGGATATTCTGAAGCAGGTGCGAGTCAAACAAAAGCTGAGGCTTTCCTGTGACCTAACTTCTTGTCACTTGCTGCAAGGCACAGCAGGCCACAGGTACAGAACTGCTGTAACTACTGCTGAGAGCTGCCCACCCATCCTTTGTATTCTACCCAAACACCAAATTCATCTCCATCCTTCAGGAATTTAAAGTGGAAGTATAACTAAAGGAGTGCAGAGCATCTCCCCCTCTGCTGAGGAGAGCTCCGTGACAATTATTCACACAAAACGGGCATAATTTTTACCATGCAAAGTAAACGGTATTATTTTTCAGAGCTTGACTCACATGTCTGGTTTACAGCCAGTGATTCCAGTCAATATCAGTTTTATGCCTGATGCACGTGTAAAATTTTCTCCTTTGACTGTTATTTCACTTTTGCCTAATGTAGAAATCCACAAAGGTTCAATGGAGTGAATGCTGATATGCTATTAGAAAACAAAGCAAAACAAAATCTGGTTATAAAAAGGCTAGGCAGTTAAACAACAGCTGCAAAACCAACCACCACTCAGGAATGTGGGTTTTATGGCACTGGGATACATTTTTCTTATTAATTTCAAATCTTGTTAAGCTTGATCCTGGGAAGTACTGTCAATCACAACTTACTTATGAGCCAACTATTTTTACCTACATATTTTATATTTCAATTTACCTCATAACAAAGTTGCCCAAATGAATCACAATCTGACATACTGGAAGGTAAGTATCATAAAAACACAGCTTGAAATGATACACTTTGTGTGACCGTTGAAGAACTAAGAAACAATGCAAGACAAAACCCATCGTGCTGTCACTATGAGAGATCAGAGAAACAAATGAAGGCATCTCTCAAGACCTGAAAAGGGGAAGCAGGGTCAAATCCTAGAATGAAAAGTTGAGAAAGAGCCCCAGAATTAGCTTTACTAGAAAGTTTTTTTTCAAAGTCATACATAGAGCTAAAGGTACAACACAACTGCGGGGATTTTTTGGTATCCCATTTTGATGCTAAGTAGTTTACAAATCTGTTTTCCAGCATTTAAGAATAATCCTAGTTTGCTCTGATGCTGTCACAGTCTTGCAGAAATGTGGCCAATTTTTAAACTGTGCTTTTCTTTGTGTATCTTTATATTTACTTATTCTAACTTATAAACACTATGGAGCAAGAAGAGAGATTTTTTTTCCCTAGTATATTTACTTGATACATTTGACAGCATCTCATGTTTAATCAGTTTTGCTGCTTCCCCTGTTTTATAATCACACAGACGGTTTCCTCTCTGTGTATCTTTCAGACAACAAACTGAAAACATTCAAAAAAACAGGAAAATATGCATGTGAAACCACAAACTGTTTGGGACCTTCTCAGGCAGATTTCTAGTGTGCTTTTAGACTGCCTATAATACTAGTTTAAAGTGAGTTTTTAGAGTATTGTGATTATCCTGATTTCTGCTGTGCACCTGTGGACACATCCACCAGGCAATTCAGCCTTCCCGACCCTGAGAAGGGACCTGGTGCAAAACCTCTAGGAAAGTCCTTGCCACAGGGTTTTTTTCTCCCCACTAATCTTTTCATGTACCCAGAGCAGCACCAAGCCTTCAGGCTGGTGGCCTGAGGAGACCACCACGGTCACATTGCCATCCACTGCAAACACAGCACTTGCCCATTTCAGAAAGGTCCCTGGCACATTGTCCCCACATGCTACCATGGCCTGCTGAATGCCAGAGCACTCTGCAGCAAATGTGAGACCTGTCACAACTGATTGAAAGCTGCAACTTGTGCCTTAGGAAAGGGCAAGAGAGTGCAAAGGCTGGGGCGCCAGAGGGCCTGCAAAAGGGCCTCCAAGATGACCTCTGGTATGGATAATGGAAGAGGGCAAAGGAAACCCCTGACAAACAGCCTGAGGGGTAAAATTCACTCCCACCCTGACCTGGAGATCAGTTTAACCCTTAGTATGCAAGCAGGACAACTGAAGTAGAAATCTGAGAGATTAAAGCCAGTGAAGCACCCGTGCTTTTCTCGTCCAACATCCCATCCCTCTGCTTGTGCCCAGCCTCCAGCGCACCAAGGACAGTCAATATCCTCACACAAATCCAGAAGCCAAATATTACAGAAAGGAGTAAAACACTGCTTCGGGACTCTCACTGGTAACCAGCAGGGAGCCCTGAAGCACAGGAATAACACAGTATCACACAAATACACGGAGATCCCCCAGGGCTGCATCAGGGCTGCGAGCCCCGGTGAGGGAAACGCCAGGCATGCCCTGCCCAGGGCTGCGGCGGGACGCTGCGGCACTTCAGGGCTCCCGCTGGTCCCTCTGCCAGGCACCGCGCACCACAAGGTGCCTCAGCTTAGCTTGCCTTGTTTCTTTTCTTACACCAAGAAGAAATGGCAGGAAGAATGGTTCACTCTGGAAGTTTCAGTCCCCCCTGAAATCATGCCTTCCCTGTGGCTACACCACATGGACTCCCTCGCTGCATCCTGCCTCAGACTCACGGCGTCAGCACAGTCACTCGCAGCACTGAGGCAAGCTGGCCTCAGCTATTCAAGAGGCTGCTTCCCGGCTTGACCGCCATGGTCCGCAACACCTTCCTCAGCAGCAAAAGAAACCGTGAATTTCCTCACTGAATGCAGGAGGGACCAAGCGTCCTCGCTGGGGTCTGCGGTGCTCGTTTCCCCAGTGCCAGAGAGCCTCTGACCTTCCGGTCGCTGCATGGCAGGGGGAGAGATGCCCAGCAGCAAAAGGGAAGGGAGACAGCGGTGAGGCAGAAGGATATTTATAAAAATCACTAGTTGTGAGGCATGCGATGAAAGCAGCATAAACACACAGAGAGACATACAGAAAGTGTGCGCCAGGTCCTCAGGTAATGTAAATCAGCACAGCCCTGTCAACTTCAATAGAGCTCCACATTTCTGAGCTGCAGCCCCGCGTCCCCTGGACAGCCTCATGCTTCCCTTGGGCTGCGTAAACACACAGCCACATCCTCAGAGGTGTGGTTAGCATGGCTGCAGGTTGCAGCGAGATATCTGGCAGCAGCCCAGGTTAAGCAGCCTCTGCCACCCCGGGGAGTTCGTCCCCACTCTGGCACAGCCCCTCCTGCGGTGCTAGCATGGGGCCCTGAGGCCACATGAAGAACTGGATCAGGGAACTGGCCCAGATGAAAAGTAACCTGCCGAAAGACAACAGCTATTTCCAGCCAAATCAGTTCCCCAGCCAAGCATACTCGTGCAACCGCTCCAACTGCTGCTCTGGCGCAGGGAGGGGGAAGGTGCGTGCGTGGAAACCAGCAGCTGGAGTCAGGAGGAGGGCTGGGGCTGCTACTGTAAAAAAGGTATATTAATCTAAACGCTCGGCTGGGGTTGTGGGAAAACACAAATCCTTTTTCTCAGCTCTCCAGTATGTTCTCCTTAAAGCACCAGCAGTCAAAGGAGAGCAGGATTTCAAATGCAATTTCAAGCCCTCTGAATGGATCAATCACTTCTAAATAAACATCTGCCTTTGGACTGCCTCTAGTGCTTTCACTGCCTTGTCCATCACTGTCTTTCCAAGATAAGGCGTGTGGAAGAAAGCCATCTCCCAGGCAATTCCAACTATTTACCAATGTCAAATTAATGCACTTGGAAGCAGAGCAAAGAAGAATTTCCTCTGGTCTTTCACCAGCCGTAATGCTTTGTATGCAGACCAAATCCAGAATATTAATGCTCAGAAGCACAAGTATTACAATCCCACTCATCTCTGTGAAAAACAAAATGGATTTTGTGATTTTGTTTGAGAAACCTCAGCTGAACAGCTGAATTTAAGAGGTAATTCCTGTCTTCAGAGGTAAAAGTTTGGGTAGTTCTAACAACACATTTAGAGATAAGAACACAGTTGCTATTTATACCAACCATGCTATCACTCACAGAAAAGCAGAAACCAAAAAGTGTAGGCAGCAAATCTCTATGTACTAATTCATCAGTCAAATTTCTCTTCACTACTCATTTCTTTCCTAACACCTGCATGTCATAAGCAACCACTGATGACAAGATTGCTCAGTTTTATGAGAAAATAAAACCATTTTGGCACAATAAAGAATGAAGGGATAACCTCGTGGTTAAAGGGCTGGCCTACAAGGCGAATAGTACAGGCTGTGCGCTCAGATACAGTCTATATGATTTCAACAGAAAACTCAACAACCAGATTCAGAAGGTACTTTGGCACCAGCAACACTCCTTCCTTTCCAGCGATCCAGCTTGAGCGGGATGGATGGAGAGTAGCTCCATCTCCAGTTTTGTCTACAGCCTGGAAGCAAGGAAAATTTTTCTGGAAGTGTGAACCAGGGATTTACTAACACCCAGGGATTTCAGTTCCTGGATGCATCCTCTAGCCACTTGTCTGTTATGCAGAAACTGGGTGGCACATCCTCCCCTTCCTTCTGGTCCCTTGGCAGCTATGTTTCAGGAGAAGCTGCGATCTAGCTGCATTAAATGAGAAAGAGGTCTGAGACTCTGAAACGTATTTCCACAGAGTTGCCTGTGACAGCAGGACTCCAACATGCACTTAAGTCTAGGTAAAGGATTAAGCCCGAGATGTTCTCCTTAGCTTTTTTTTTGTTGTTGTTGGTCAACTTACATGCCCCAGCCCTCAGCACGCTGGCTCCTGTGGAGTGCCTAAATACAGCATACAAGGACTTGGGCATTTAAAGCAATATTGTAAATACCGCATCTAGAGGTAGGCACATGACTATTGCAGTATTCACTGTTTCAATGCCTGGATCTGAAACACAAATGTTTGTTGGTACCTTTACGCACCAACAAAGCACTAAGAAAAAATAGTATCAATCCAAGCCCCGCATTACCTTTCTATGTAACCAACTGACTGCCTCCTCATCCATATCTCTATTCCTCCTGCAAAATCCTCTCATTTTAAATAAATTTCTCCCCCAACCCACAGAACCTCAATAATGCCCATCTTAAAATGCGAACTAACCTCTGTTTTCTGCACAGTGGTGATCCCCTTGGAAGCAGCTGCATTACAACTATCCTGAAAAAAAAAATCAGCATTTCTCCATGTCAGGACAAGGAAGAGACAGATTGCTGCTCAGATGTAAAAAATACAAGGAAAAGGCATCACAGGGCATTCCAGTCCTCCCCAACAAACTTCACCTGGCAGGTGGTGGCAGGAGAAACACGCGTCCATTTACAGCTGGCACACTCACCCTTGTGTATACATCGTGAGCAGCTGGTAACACAGAAAAGAGAGTTTTTGTAAGACACAGGAACTCAATCTAGATTCACCTATGAATGTGAAATTTCAAGTGACAGAAAAAACTACAAACCCAAGAGAACAACCTGGCAAACATGTAATGAAATGCATAAAACACGTAACCTGCATTTACCCTCCAAGCCTATTGTTCTGTTGTGCTTATTCTGAGGACACATTTAGCATGAAATACAATCTGTGCTGAGATGCTGAGAGTCATAAATTTCCAAAAAGCATGAAGCAGACGGAACACTTCGGGTTTCATTTTGCTGTGGTGTTCTCCAGTACATAAGGAGCCAGAGAGTACTTCTTAACCAGAAAAGGGCAGAAAACAATCACTGATTCTTTTGCACCTTGCCTAAACTTCTGTTCTGTGCGCGTAGTGCTAGCAAGTATGGCTAGTTTGCTATTGCCTTTCCCT